GGGGTCCCGGATAGAGAGAAGCAGGTGTACCAGGTGAAGTCTGGAGCCAGGATCAATGTCACTACTAGGAGGTGAGGGACAGGAGGTGTCGGGGCCCCAGGTTGTGGGTCAGAGCAACGCCAAGGGTGACTGTCCTGTTTACACAGGGGCATCCCTGCCGGACGTGGAGGGGAGCCCCAGGCTGAGCACAGGGTGCCAGGTGTTGGCCGAGGGGTGGGGCAACAGCTGTGAGGGGGTGGCTGGAGGGGAGAGGAGCTCAGCTACAGCGGGGGCTGATGAGACTCAGTTTCCCCAAAGGGGGCGGTGGAGGTGGCATGGTCTCCCTCGCTCTCCACAGGACCCTGTCCTGACCTTTAGTGGCCTGCCTGCATCTCCTCACCTGGACAGCAAAGCTGCCAGGTGAAGCCTCCCTCAACCAATAGGGAACAAGCTGACCAAAGCATTAGTGGGAACCAGTGACAAGTGCCAGGAAGCTGTTAAGCACGGAGTTCCACCTTCGTGCCTGTGAAGTGCTGCCCTGCCCCACTCCTGGAAGCGGGCGGGGGTGGGGGGCTTCCAACCAAGAGCACCTGGAGCACCACTCCTGGAAACGGGCGGGGGTGGGGGGCTTCCAACCAAGAGCACCTGGAGCACCACTCCTGGAAACGGGCGGGGGTGGGGGGCTTCCAACCAAGAGCACCTGGAGCACCACCAGGACTCTTCCGGGCCAGCTGGCAGCAGAAGCAACTGAAGGGTGGGTGCTGTTTTCCTCCCCCGATGGGGCGGAGGAGCGCTGGCCGTGGCCGGTGAGTGGCAGTCAGGGCTGACTTTCACCGGAAGCAGGGAAGCCATTGGAATTCCAAGTCTGCCCTTGAGAACGCGCCCCTCCTAAAGCAGAGTGACGGTTAATAAACTCTCAGGAGACACCGCAGAGCCCCCCCCCCCCGCTGGCACCCACACTGCTTTCCTCTCTCAGGATTCACCGAGGAAGGGGGGATTGCATCCGATGCCCAGCCCTTAAACCAGCTCAGAGGCAAGTCACTGAATCTCAGACACCTTGCAGCAGAGCAGGGACACACAGGAGAGAGTGGACAGGACAGGTGGACAGGTGTGGCCAGTTTCAGGAGGACAGGTGGAGGTGTGGCCTCAACCCCTCCCTCACAGCAGCAGAAAAACTGGTGCGGGGGGGGGGGGTTGACAAAGACGCAGCAGGGGAGAACACACCTGAGGAAGTAGCAGACTCCACAGGAGCCCCGGAATCTTAGGAATCTTAGGAGTTCAGCAGTGAGGCCAGTAATCAGCAGTCACACACGGACGACGGGATGGCAGAAGGAGCTGGAGGTTTAAGAGCAGAGGGACTGCGTTTCCTCAAAATCACACCGTTGCTAGCAGGAGAAACAGCAAGGGGCAGGCTCTAGCACAGCGAAGGCTGGAGATGACTTGGGGCAAGACAAAGCAGTGGAAATAAGCCTGCCTCAGCTCAACCGCTACTTGCTAAGCACCTGCTTCGTGCCACACTGTTTGGATGCTAGGGAAGGGAGGGGGCAAGTCGCCTCCCTGGGGAGGGTGCAGTCCAGTGGGGAGGAGGGGGGCTGACAGATGGTCTGTGACATCACGGGCCTTGAAGACAAGATGATGAGGGGCAGTGGGCAGGGAGAACACCGTGGGGGGCACTGTTTATTTAGAGGGTGAGGACATTGGTGAAGGAGGGACCCACTCAAGTCTAACAGTGGGGGAGAGACCCTCGATGGGCCACGTCCCTGGGCAGGGCCTAGTGGCAAGAGAACCTGGAGGAAGGCACCTGGGGCTAGAGGCCAAAGTTAGGAAAAGTGTTCAAAGATACACTGGAAAGGTTCCCTGGGGTAACCACAGGGCCTGCACCTCGAAGGTTCCCTCCAAGTTCCAGGACAGCAGTAGAGTGAGTCACACTGAGACGTACCCTGTCTGGTCGCTGAACTGCAAGGGTTAATAGCATATAAATTAATATTACACAGTGGAACACTACTCAGCCATTAAAAAAAATAAAATAATGCCATTTGCAGCAACATGGATGGACGTAGAGATGATCATATTAAATGAAGTAAGTCAGACAGAAAAAGACAAATATCGTCTGATATCACTCATATGTGGAATCTAAAAAAAAGACACAAATGAACTCATCCACAAAACAGAAACAGACTCACAGCCACAGTAAACAAACTTATGGTTATGGGGGAGGGGAAGGGGGCGGGAGGGATAAACTGGGAGTTCGAAATTTGCAAATACTACTAAATGTAAAATAGACAAACAAGTTTCTTCTGTACACCGCGGGGAACTATATTCAATATCTTGTAGTAACCTATAGTGAAAAAAATATGAAAACAAATCTATGTATGTGTACATATGACTGAAACATTATGCTGTACACCAGAAATTGACACAACACTGTAAGCTGACTGTATTTCAATTTAAGAAAAAACAAAAATAAATTAATAGCATATAAATAACATAATAGAAAAAAAAAGTGTTTTTTCCCCAGAAAAAGCATATCACATACAAGGACAAAACACCACGCTGGCCCCGTTTTCTCCAGCAACGTTCAGAGCCTGAAGACGAAGTCGTGAGAGAAAAACAGCATGACCTGAAATTTTCCCCAGCAAGTGCTCATGCCCGTCTCAAGGCCCCAGGAAAACTTCCTAAACCTAGAAAAACCCAAAAAATTAAGTTCTTTAGAAATGTAAAAGCTGACCTTCAATGCAGCCAGCGAGCAGCTAATGGAAACAAAGACGGGGTGGGCCGGATGCTGGCGTTGGGCTCCAGGCCATGGCGAGATGCAGACCACGGTGGGCAGGGACCACAGTGGGCAGGGCAGTGCCCGAGCCGCTCCTCACCGTCCAGGGCCCAGCCCCAGCCAGCACTACTAAGCGGACGCACGCTGCCCGAACCCAGGCGACACCGCCTCTGGATGTTTGCTGTAATTCCTGAGAATTCTTAGGAGAATCTTTTAAACTTGAGTGAAGCAGCATTCACCTAATTTTGGTAATCCTGTTTTCCCTTAAATTTTTAAACATTTGGAAGGAGTATTCTACACTTATTCTCTATTTCCATATGTTCTCTCACCTCTGCTTGGGCCTTTAGAAATACTCGAATCACCTTCACCTCATGTTAACAGCCGTCCTCTTGGTGATGAAACCGTGGGTGAGATTTTTAAAACTTTGTTGGGGGGAGGGTATAGCTCAGTGATAGAGCACATGCTTAGCATGAAAAGGTCCTGGATTCAATCCCCAGTCTCTCTGTTAAAAAAATGTTAATAAAAGAAAATGATGGAATAAATATTTGACTTCTGTAATACAAAATATAATAAAGATTAAATTAGGGAAAATTTAAAAAAACACTTTCTTGCTGGATTGCTGAATAGTAAGCAATCATGAAGCCAACGATGTCATTTTTTTCAGTGGGGGCGATGCCGGGCACTGAGTGTCTGCCGGCCCTCAGGAGGCCACCAACACCACCTCCCAGGTGCCCTGCCAGCCCTAGGGGGCCGCGCCCTACGAGCTGGGGTGTCTATAAGCTCTGCTCCCTGCTCTGAGCCCACAAGCACAGACAAGTGTGGATACAAGGGAGACCACGTGGCCAGCCTGGGTGACTGTCCTCCCTGCCACTGGAACGCCCAAGCAGACCCCCTGCCTGGGGGTGTCCCTGTGAGTCTGAGAGGACGTACTGCTCTCCCTAGACTTGGGGAGGGACCTACCTGGTCGGGAAGCAGAGTGACAGGACAGTTTAGAATGGACGCCTGATGGTGGCACTGCAGTGTCCACTGTCAGCAGTGACCTGGGTGACGTCCTAACCAGAGCAGAGATGCCTGATCCGTCTGCTGGGTGGCCCTTGCTCTCTTCCGGGCTCCCAGGTCACCCCAGACTCTTCTCTCTTCCAGGGGCTCCTTGGTGGAGCACTGGTGACATCTGGGGCCCAATCATTCTTGGCTGTGGGGGGCCATCCTGTGCTCTGTGAGGTGTTGAATAGCACCCCAGCCTCTACCCACTCGATGCCAGGAGCCCCTGGGGAAGGCAGAGCACCCCTCCCCAAGATTTCCACGTCTTCACTCCAAACCAGTGACCGTGCTAGGCTACACAGCAGGGCAGGGGTGGTTAAGGCTGCTAACCAGGCTACCTTAAAATAGTATCCTGGGTTACCCAGGGGGGCCCAATGTCATCACAGGGTCCTTAAAAGTGGAGGAGGCGGTGTAAGACAGAAGCTGTGCTGCTGGCTTTGAAGGTGGAGGAAGGGGCCTCAGGCCCAGCAACGTGGGCGGCTTCTGGAGCTGGAGAGGCTTCCAGAAGGAAGACGGCCCGGCCCACAGTCTGTTCTCGGCCCAGTAAGGCCCGGTTCGGACTTCGACAGAACTCGTGGTTCATGAATTTGAAACACTAAGTTTGTGGTAAGTTGTTTGGGCAGCAACAGGAAGCCAGCACAGCCGGGGTGACAACCAAACCATCTCCAGGGACTGTCACGTGTCCCCAGGCAGCACACCCCGCTGGAGAGAGCTGGGGCTCTCTGCTGGTCCTTGCTTGTTCCCCACTATCAGACCACAGGAGGTGGGGAGGATGCTGCCCAGCCCTGGGCCTCAGCCCTAGGGACGCCCCACAGCCTCCACTGTGCTGGCGGGGAGCCCCGGGTGGTCCCCATGGGGGAGGCCTCGTGCAGAGCAGAGGGCCGGCCAGCCCAGTGTCCTGGACCCACCCCATCTGACTACAGCCTCAGGAGACACCCCGGTAGACCCATCAGGGTGAGCCCAGTGAGGCCCTGGGTCTTGAGTGAGGACATGGAGCCCTTTAAGGCTACTCAGGTACAGAGAACTCCACAGCACTTGTCACCCCAGCAGGCCTGTTGACACTTTAGCATGGGAGAGGGTTTTCCTGGCTGGCTCGGAGCCTGGCCCAGAGCAGGTTCTGGCCCCGGAGAGCCATTCCCCACTTCACCAGGGGTCCCTGAGGAGGAGCGAGAGGGCATCCTGGTGCCCCCTGCCTAAACCCAGACCCCTTCTCCCCCACCCCTTAGGACACCTCCCCCAGCCCCCACCACCACCCCACCGGCCTGTGGTCCTCCGTCCACCCTAGGCAGCCTAGCAGAGGTTGGGCTGGGGAAGGCTACCCCACCCGGAGGTGGCCTCTAAGGCCTCAGGGGTGAGTGTCCTGAGGAGAGGGCAGCCAGAGGGTCCCAGGGCGCCCTGTTCTCATCCCGGGGCGGGTCATGACTCTCCGCTGGGCTATGGAGACGGTGCAGGGGCCGTGCGCCCCAAGCCTGGCAGGCCGCCTCCAGGACCCGCAGGAAAGGCAGTGGGAGACAGACTGCTCTCCGGGGCTGAGTTGGCTCTTAGGAGGGCGGTGACCTCGAGGCCTGGGCCTCCAAAGTCACGTTGTGCCAGAAAGGCGCGCTCCGGACCAGGAAGGCGTGGAAGGCGTTGGTGGACTCGGCGGACCTCGGCGGGC